TCTAGGTTTTCTAGGTTTATTTTTTTAATTAGGTTTTTTTTTTAAGGATTATAAGAAGTCTTTAGAGTTTTGATTTTTTTTTTTTTTTTATCTTTAAGATTTTTGAATGTTTGTGTTTTGAGTTCTTGGGCTTTAGGAAAGTGATTTTAATTGTGGGTTGATGAATTTTTTTTTTTTTTTTAGTTTTGGCTTGAATTGTTGGGATTAAATTTGAATTTCTGGGTTTGGATGAGTTACGATTTTTTTTTTTTTTGGATTTTTAAGAACTTTTTGGTGAAGCTTTGAAGCTTTCGGTGAAGATCATGGTGGTCGGATGGATTGTGGTGGCCGGATTATGAGAAGTTAGGGTTGTTTTTTGGTAGGTTTAAAGTTTCTTACACCGTTGAATTTTTTAATTTTTGGAATTACTTGAGGTTTTCGGTTGGGGTTTTTTTTAGAGAGAAAGCAAAGGTTTTCTAGAAAGAGAAAGGGGAAGAGTATTTTAAGGAAAGGAAGAAAATTTTGCTTTTAAACCCACATCAAAATGGTAGCATTTTGAAAAGACTTGACCCGTATAAACTCACGTGGATTTGTGCCTTGACCTGTCTGACAACTTGATCTAATCATAGGTTTTTTTTTTTTTTGATTCGATTCGATTCGATATGATTTGATTTGATTTTTTTCAATTTATTTTATTTCTTATTTTTTCTCCTTTATTCTAATTAAGTGATTAGATTAAATAGGAAAAAAAGAAATTTGGTAAAATTATTTGTAATGCTTTTATTTATCTTTTTACATGATTATTTATTTATTGCATGATTACATATTTAATTATATTCTTGCATGACGATATTATTTTTGCATGATTATTATTATTGTGTGACATATTATATTATCTTGCATGATAATTATTTGCATGAGAATTTTTGTTTATTTTAATTGATTTTTTTTTCAAATTTAAAAAAGGTTTTTATAAAATAATTTTCAATCATACCAAATTATTAGAGAATTTAAATCTTAAATTTAGTCTTACCAAACTATTTAAGGACTTAATAATTTTCTTGAAAAAAATATTTTTTAAAATCTTACCAACATATTGGAAGATAATTCTTGATGAAAAATCTTACTAACATATTAGAAGATATTTCTAAAAGTAAACTATTTTCACAAATAAATAAATTTTCAATCCTATTAATATATTGGAAGATAATCTTTAACAGAAAATCTTACCAATATATTGGAACATATTTTTGAGAATAAATTATTTTTACAAATAAAAGTTTTTTATAACAAAAAAAGATTAAATAAATCCAACAATGGAGCCTCTTCAGAGTGGGATATTAGTCTCAATGAATACTCATGAGGTGAAAAAATTATCTTAAATTGCTACCAAACTATTAGAGTAATTTTAAGATCAATTTTTAATAATTAGCTATTTGGTAAACTACAAAGAAGCTTTACAGCTCGGATAATTTGAAATCAAACTGGTACTATCTTTTGAATTAGCGCTGTGAGGATGCTGCAATCTTTCTTACGCATATCTGTACTCTCAAACTTAAAATATGGTTTGTAAACTAGAATCTACATTTTAAAGATATTTGAATTAAGTTTGAGATTTCTCTTTAAAAAAAGACAAATTCAGTTAAATGGCTAATTACATTTAAACAAAAAATATTTGTAGTGACTCTTAAAATTAATGTTTAGCGATAGGTCTATGGATTTATATGTTATGACATGTGGCATCTTCATTTTTCTTATTTTCTTTGTTTTTTTTTAAACATTTGCTTTTATTTTCTTTATTTTCTTTTTTAAAATATTGTTTTATTTTTACTTTTTATTACATAAATTTTGTACTAAAAAAGTTAATTGAGATAGAGATGATAAAACAACTCTATATCCGATATGTTGTAATTCATCCCGATCTAATTAATGTGCTTTTTTTTTTTTTAAATTCAAGATAATTGAATTGAATTTTTTTTAAATTGAATTTGGGTCAAAATAAAGTTTTGGGTATCAAGCCTCGGCCTTGATATATATATATAATATTTGATTATTTACTTAAATTTATATTTATATATTATTCAAAAATATTATTTAATACCTTAATTTAATAAATTTACGTGCTAACCCATTCGACTTTTTCTTTATTATTATTATTTTTTAATTTGATTTATTAGATAAATTTTGTAAAGAAAAAAATCAAAGGATGTAAGGATTATAAAATAACCTATATCTGATAGATTTTGATTCGTCCCGATCCAATTGATACAATTTTTTTTTAAAATAAGTATTGTATTAAGTTTTATCTCTTTGAACAATTTGAATCAAATTGGGATCGGGTTTAGGGTATTTTGCCTCGACTCTTCTTAGAATATATAAAAATATATTTTTATTATTTATTTAATTTATATTTATATTAATAAAGATATTATTTGATATTGTAATTTAATAAAAAACTTCATTTATATATAATTAAATTATAATTTATATTAAAAAATAAATATCTTTATATTTATCTATATATTGTCATCTATTAAAATTTAGCATAATATTTTTACTTATTTTATATTTAAAATATAATTTTAAAAAATTATCTTACAATAAAACTCGAATCTAGTTCTAATGTAATTAATAATCCAGATTTAACGTGTAAAAAAATATAATCACAATTGCGAGAGTAAAATAGTTAAGGATTTTTTTTTTTGAAACCAATAAAATAAATCATAGTACAATGACTTACTAGCCTTTGCTCTTTGGACTAATCATTCTAATATTAGCATAGAGATAATTTTTCTTCTATGGTACCCATCATTTTCCCTTGTTGGTCCTTTATTGGAAATTATAAGTAGCGCTTGAACTACGCAAGATAACTAGCACCGTAGCACCATTTTTTCCTTGTAACAAAACACTTCCTTAAACACTATTTCAAAGATCAATGGTCACTATTGTAATGCTTCTTCTTGTGTTTTTCCTCTAGCAACTGTCAACGTTAGTTTCACTAACGGAAGCTCCCATAATATTGGTTGTATTGAGAGTGAAAAACAAGCCCAGTTAATGTTCAAACAACATCTGGTAGATCCTGCAAGCCCGCTTGCTCCTTGGGTTCATGATGAAGATTGTTGTAGTTGGGATGGAGTTGTCTGTGACAATGTGACTGGCCATGTCCTTCAACTCCAGCTTAGACATCCTCCGTTGGATAATGAAGCAACTTTTGTTGAACGCTATGCTAATGAGAGGTTAAAGCTGGGAGGTAAGATAAACCATCCCTTACTCAATTTGAAGCATTTGAGTTACTTGGACCTAAGCAACAACGATTTTGAAGGAATTCAGATTCCCAGGTTTCTTGGTTCTATGAGTAGTTTAAGATACCTTGATCTCTCTTATTCTTAGTTTGGAGGATTGATTCCTTCTCAACTTGGAAATCTCTCAAACCTTCAATATCTCAATCTTAGTTGTCATTGGTATGGAGAGAAGTTATTTGTTGAGAATCTCCAATGGTTAGGTGGTCTTTCTCAATTAAAACACCTTGACTTGAATGGTGTGAATCTCAACAAAGCATCTGATTGGCTACGTATGGTTACCACACTTCATTCTTTGGAAAAGTTACATTTGTCATTCTGTCAACTTCCTTTGGTTCGTCCAATCCTGAATCCGAATTCTTCGTCTCTTGCCATCCTTGATCTTAGTTGTAACTTTGGACAGTACTCATCTATTCTCAGTTGGGTATAGTCTTAAAACTCTGGTTTCCCTTGATTTAAGGGACACTGGTTTGAAAGGTCCTATACATGATGCTCTCGGTAACTTAACTTCTCTTAGGTACCTTGATCTTTCAGCGAACTGTTTCAGTTCTTCAATTCCTGACTGGTTATATAGTTTTAGCCCTATTGAGTCTCTTTTCCTTTTTGATGCTAGCTTGCAAAGTAAAATATCAAATGCCATTGGTAACATGACTTCTGTCATTAATCTTGACCTATCATACAACAAACTGAATAAAAACTTTCCCAAGTCTTTGGACAACCAGAGAATTTGGAAATCGTTGATATTTCCCATAATTTGTTAGAAGGTGATGTTGCTGAAATTCAATTCACCAATCTCACAAATTTGAGGAAATTTCTTGGAGATGGGAACTCATTGAACTTTAAAGTCGATCCCAAGTGGATTCTCCTTTCAACTCCAAACCTTAAGATTAAGGTCTTGGAATTTAGGACCACAATTTCCACCATGGCTTCATTCAAAGACACAATTGAAAGTTCTAGATATATCAGACTCAAGAATTTCCTAGTTGGTTTTGGCAAATGTGTTCTCAATTTTACTATTTAAATATCTCTCACAACCAAATCCATGGACAGATTCCTGCTATACCAGTTAGTTACCCTCGTGCTATCTTTGATTTCAATTCAAATTCCTTCAGTGGGTTATTACCTCGAATCTCCTCTAATTTGATGACATTCGACCTTTCTTGCAATTATTTATCAGATTCCCTTTCCAACTTTTTGTGTAGTAGGATGAATGAGACGATGAATTTGGAGTTTCTCTGTCTAGCCAAAAACCGTTTATTCGGACAGATACCAAATTGTCGGATGAAGTGGCAATACTTGTCGGTCATAGTTTTAACTGCCAACAACATTACAGGTTTTCTCCCACCCTCTTTGGGAAGCTTGAGATTTCTTTGCTCATTGCATCTTTCCAAAAATAGGCTTATGGGAGAAGTACCTCCGCAGCTTAAGAATTTTAAGCTATTAACGACACTTGAATTGAATGAAAATAAATTCAAGGGACACATCCCGGCATGGCTTGCTTCGGAGACTGATAATTTTGAGTTTTCGTTCAAATAAGTTTCATGGCTCCATACCAAATGAGTTGTGCGCACTTGGTTGTCTCCAAGTGTTGGATCTTTCTGATAACAATCTCTCTGGATACTTACCAAAATGTATCGGCAACTTCAGCGCCACGGTCAAACGAGATGATTCTATATCTTAGATGGTTTACATACTACTTATTATCATGCTATGTTTTTTGATTTTGTATTTCTTGTGATGAAGGGGAAACCGGCTGCATACGGCCGAATTCTGAGTTTTTAAAAAGTTATTGACCTTTCAAAGAACAAATTACATGGAGGGATTCCTGATGAAATAACTAGGCTTCGAGGAGTAAAGTCATTGAATTTGTCACATAATCATTTGATTGGAACCATTCCTAGAAGCATTGGTGCTATGACATCAGTAGAATCTATTGATTTGTCTATGAACCAACTTTCCGGTTCAATTCCTCAGAGCATAACAAATTTGACATTTTTAAGTTGCTTAAACTTGTCAAATAACAATTTGATAGTAAAAATCCCTTCAAGCACTCAGTTACAGAGCTTTGATGCATCTAGTTTCGCCGGCAACCGGCTTTGCGGACCTCCAGTGACAGAGCATTTCAGTGTAACTAGTGAAATTCTGAACATCAGGAATGAAGGCAAGAAAGATCATGGTAATGGACTTCAAGTGGATTGGTTCTAAGTGATCATGGCAATTGGATTTGCAACCGGCTATGGGGCTGTTTTAGTTCCTTTGATGCTTAGCAGGTGGTGGAGATGGCTACACTTCCAGGCTTTGGATCGGATGTGGACTAGATTAGTTCTGCCGGCCGTATGCAAATGCTACATGATTTCATACATTTTACCTGAAATGTATCACTATTAGCAACTTGTAATACAATTACAGTTACCAATATTTTCATGTAAAATCAAATTGGACTTCATTTCTGCATAAATATGGTGATGATAAGTGAGAAAATCACCAACTTCGAATGGGTTTTGCTAAGCACTTTGATTAGGATAAAATGAAGGGGGTAAAAACAAAGCCAGAGTTTCAAAGATTCCATTGCTTAAAACTAGAAAAACATAATATTATTCGAACCAGAGTACTACTCTAAAACAAGCAAAGCAACTGGAAATGGAAATGGAATAGTGGTCACTAACTTGCTTAATCATCATCCTTTGTAGCAATTAATAGTAGGCCGATAAGTGGATAGAAGCACGTCGATGAGGAGATAAGATTGTGACCATATAAAAAAGACAACTGGAAGAGTAGCCATTATAGTCACTGGAACGATGGTCGACCTTCTAAGCATCACCTTAGGACCAGGGACTGCATCTATGAGCATAATCAAGGCTGAGCTGGAGGCTACCAACATGGTTGCAATGGAAAAAATTAAGGTCATAAGTCCCAAAAGTAACCTCTTTGGCAAAGCCTTGAGAAAATCTTCTTCGGCATAGCGCGAAGTCAGGATTCGCACGAACAACAGTAATGAAAAAGAAGAAGAAAAGAGTGCAGCAGCATCTGCTACGACAAAGACTTTGAAGAGAGATTCATGCCTGAAGTTTGGTATTCCCTTCTCATTGTTTCCTGGTACAGCGATTATTGCTGCAAACACCATAGCGATGATTAGTGCATCCACAACCATACATGATGTAGCAGTGTCTCTCATCCATTTCTCCCCTTCCTTCACCAACTCCTTATGTTCATCATCAAACACTTCTCTTGGAGTTTTTTTCTCAATGTTTCGTTCTTCCAAGAGTAATGGATGGACGAACCTTTCTACTGCCTATAAAAAGACAAGAAATCATAAGAAATTTTTTAATACAGTCAGGGTATTTTAATGATGATAGACGAAAATAGATAAATTTAAAATATTTTTAAAAGATGATAATTTAAAATTTAAAATTTAAGAATTACTAATGAAAATAAAATATCGCACAACAATCATAAATACGAAGTGTAATTTACTCCTAAAGTTAGTAAAGATCTATTACCTTGAACCATTGCATCTCCCACTGCATTTGCAAAGCAGCACCGTTAATATGCCTAGAAGGTATACACCTCCCAGCTAAATGCAGTATGTTTTCTTTATTCTTGCATGGATAACTTGCCACCCATTTTTGGGATAGACCCATTTTGTAGATCAAATTGAAAACCTTTTCTCGGCGATGTAAAACTGCAAGCTGAAATATATTGTAATTGTTATCGTCATAGAACATTGTTGAAGCTGTATATACTTTTAAAATTTCTTCGACTATCTCTAGAATTCCCAAACTTGCAGCTTTCAAAACTGGTAATTTTAGTGCATCTGAGTCATTGTCGAATGTCCAAATAACTCCCGCACACATTGATTTGACAACTTGACGAGCTTGCTCATTCATCAACTTGGTTTTATAAATGCGTTCGACCCTTGGACCTACCATTCAAGTGGTATGAAACAAAACTTTATTCAATATTAGGGAGAAATGATGAGCTAATTTGGTGTAAAAAATCAATAAATCTAACTAAGTTAGAAAATTACAGATTAAACAAATTATTAAATTTGTTGAGCTCTTGATAAGTTCTCCACCATCATTGGCAGAATTCTCTATAGCTTTATCAAGAATATTAATACGCAAAGAATCATCATTTTCGGGTTGAATGGACGGAATAGCAACTTCATTTGTCACTGAAATGCCTGCAAATTGAATTTAAAATTTAATTTAGTTAGATTATATAATTATTGTTAAAATGTGATATCTAATAAATTTAAAATTCAAATTTCAGCATACTTAATTCCTTCAATTATCTTCAAGTTGTGATTTTTTTTATAAAAAAAAAATATTGCAAATTAAGTTTCAGAAAGAAGTTAGAATAAAAAGAAAGGTTAAATTATTTGTGAATAATGAACCACATATAAAACTTATGGATAAATATAAATGTAAAGAGACGAACCTTTGTATATCAAGCGTTCCCAAAGTCCAAACTTACATGCACTTTCAAATCCGAGAGGCTTTTCAGCCAATTGTTTTAGAATTCGTTTCCTTTGCTTGAGACTATCACGACCTAATTTTGGATAACGTTTAAGCATATCAAGAGCTGTGCCTGTTGATGCAAATATAGACTATAGTTTAGAGAACAAATATAAAAGCACAAAAAGTTTTTTACTTGCACTACTTTTCATGTTTCTTTTAGTAAAGATGCTAATGACCACTCAAGTAAGACCTAATGTTAAAGATGAGCATCTTTAGAAAAGTTGTAATCAATCAAAAAGCATGATCATGATCATACTAGAAATTAATATCGAGTAAATATCAACCCATATGGGTCAAGATATTCTTCATCCAGTTGGTATATATAAATATCTAACTCACCACAGTTAATCTAGTTGATAGGACGATGAATTATTTTTTTATCTGAAAATAAAATCTGAATATATGGATTAGGATATTGTTGATCGTCTGAGTAAAAAATTAGTTAATTAATTAATCATATATATATATACACACACACACTAGGTATGTATTTGTTTTGACCAAAATTTAACATCTTGGAAGGGTGAGTTTTCTCTTACCATAGAGGTTAGCAGATATCAGATATTGGACAATCGTAGCGCCATTATCACCTGAGAAGAAGCTCTGATCATCCATTTGAGTTGTTTGAGCCACTGATAACAGACATCGAATCGTTTCCTCGTGCCCAAACCTGGCAGCAGCATGGAATGGAGAATCACCACTGTAGTTAAACCTTGTAAGTAATTCTGGGTTCTTGAGGGCCATCATCTTCGCAGCTTTAGTGTTCCCCACATAGGCCGCGACGCTGAGGGCTGTGTCATGTTGATAATCGGTTTTCCCAAGTGAATCTGCGTCAATTTTCCTTACAATTTCCTCTACAAGCCAAAGGGCTTTCTCCGAATTCACCAAAATGTGCAAAATTGTCTCGTAAAAGGCTGTTATTGGAGATCTAAGACCATCATTGCCAAGTAACTCCAGTTGCTTTTTCACTTCTTTCCAATCTTCATGTACTATAGCCTTCCAAAGCTCCTCATATTGAGCAAGATCCGCCTCCACGTTCCCCTCCTCCTGCCTCTTTTTCTCCATTAGATGCCTTATCATTACTTCAAGCAGGAGGTAAATATACATTGGTGAGTATTTATATAAAGAGTAGTTAATGTCTGTTTGCATCGATCCGAAAAGGAACGTAATGAACAAAACTAAAGAACCTCTTGCCGTTTAAGAAAAAAAAAAAAGAGTAGTTAATATATATATATATATATATATATCTAATAACCCAATTGCCTTAATTGCTTACCTTCTGCATTTTTCTGATTTCTATCAGTAGAATTATTGGTCGTTGATGATGAATCTTCTGCCTTTGTTTCATCTTGCTCATCATCAAGGTTCACGTTACCAAAGCGGCCACATATTCGGAATGTCGTTTCTCCATTTGATGGTAATTGGCCTGTAAATGGCTTGTTTTGTGGTGGATCTTGATCGGCCATTGGTGACATACTGAGAATCTTGGTTGAAGACTGATGGAAGTTCTCATGAATTTATAGAACTACCATGGGTTAATTATTGATGAAATTCGACATGAGGTCCAACGTTTCAATTAATTAAGCTCCATTTCATTGTCATTTTGGTTCATGTTCTCACTTGTCTTTGTTTACTTTTTATTTTTTTCAAATTCCTAATATAAAATAAAAATTTATATTTAATGTTTATTATATGAAATATTGTTATACCATAACAAGGCTCGTCTTTATTATTTACGTTTTACTTTTTCAAAAGTTATAATATAAAATAATTTAATGTTTATTACATCAAATATTGTTATACCTTAACATGGTTCGAGAGCTAAGATAGAGTAAATTCCATGACACTATTAAGTAATATTTAAATTATATTTTGAATTCAAATATTAACCTATGTTACCTATAAGTGTAAATTTTTTAATGTCAATTTCTAAATATTATTTCTTTTTTTTTAATCTTAAAACCTTTTTTAATTTTTTCTAAAATTACAGTAAATGCTAATTAAAATTAATAATGAAAATGACGTCTTAACAACCAAGATGTTGGTTCACATTGCATTTCAATTTGATCAATAATTGTCATTTGTCATGTTTTGCCAGGGTTGGTACTTACCAAGAAAAAGAAGTTTTTTTTCACAATAGTCCTACAAAAATAATTAATGAGACTAATCAAGTCCGTAAATGGGCACGTTTGCAAATTACCACAAACTTTCAATCGTTGCATATAACGGCAGCACCTGCATGTCATTTTTTATTTGATGATTAAGATAATATAAATAAAATAATATGACATATATTTTTAATTTTGTTTCAAAAGTTTGAATTTTTTACTAATTAAAAATAATATATAGCAAGAACCTCATGGTTTGTTCAAAAGTATAAGAATAAATTTAATAGAGTTGAAATGATTTATCTAATTATTCCGATTTTACTTTTAATTTAAACTAATAGAATGCTTGCACGTCGTAAAGAAAAATAAAGGTTGTGTATTCATTAAAAAAATTATATCAATAACATGTAATATATAAATAAATATATATAAATAACAAAATATATGTATGTATGTATATATAAATAATATAATAATTATAATAAGTATATACAAAAATATATAGATATTAACACATCATCATCAATAAATTAATTAAAAATATTTAAAATGATTGATTCTTTTGAATTAAGATTATCCTTTAACAAAGGTCATGTATTTTCAAATTGCATACATAAACTATTCACCCATAATATAAAGTCGATAATGTTAATTTATATTTAATCCTCAGCAAAGTAAAAGAAAATAAAAAATTATTGTCATCATTTAATTAATCCAAATTTATTGATAAAAATAAAATGAGTGTTATTATGTACATCCTACATTTTTCTCAATACACCTCACCGTTATTAACATTCAATTTTTTATTCAATATACTCCAAATTCAAAAGACAAATTTACTAAAAAACCAAACACCACACCTCACACCCCATCTCTCCTCCTTCTGTCTCTTCCAACCAAAAATCCTAAAGGATTAATCTCTAATCAAGCCACATTCAAAGGAAATTTTAGCTATTTGATGTTGAAAGCTTAGAATCAAAGGTAAATAGTTTGTTCTTTATGCTTTTTTATTTGATTTTGTATTTAGTTTTGTAAAAAATAGGATTTTAAGTTATTGGGTGTGATTCGAATATTTTGAAAATGAATTTCCAAAAATTCTTAAAGATATTCGAAAATGGATGTTTGAAATCCATCAAGAATTCTCGAAGATTCATTTTTGGAATCCCTTTAAGGCTTCTAGACATCTATTTTTGAAAACCCTTAAGAACTTCCTGAATTCATTTTTTGAAATTTCTCATTGTCATCCGAAAATAGATGTCTAGAATCTTGTTATTGATTCCTGAAATGGATGTCCGAAAGCCTTTAATAGATTTCAGAAGGGATTTCAAAAATTTATTTCTGAAATCCATTAAAGGCTTCCGGACATCCATTTTAGAAAGTTCTTTAACGTTTTCAAAAATGGATGTTCGAATTTCTTTAAAGGATTCGAAAATCCATTTTCAGAAATCCTTTACAAATGTTCGAAAATCACGATACTTTGATATTCTATGCATGTATTATTATTTACTAATTGAGTCATGTATATTTACTTTAAGAATTAATGTATTAGCATTTAATATTTATAAAAACAGATATGGCATGAACGAGAAGAGTGAGTGTTACTCGAAGTAGTGGACATGCTATAGTTGATATTTGGAGGCATTTGACTACTTCTGAGAGGAGACGACAAGCTTATGATCATAAGCGAATTGTTGATCTGGTAGAGCAGCTAGACGTTGATCGAGCACAATAGCCAGTAGAGTAGCTAGATATGGAGTTCACAAAGTCGATTGTTCATCCCTCAAAGCCATTTCCTAAAGGGCCAATAGATACTTCTTTGTTTTCGAGCTTCAGCTCTCATATTACAACAAAAATATAGAATGGCTAGGTACTAAATTAAATGTGATTGATGATTAAAGCTTACTTTTGTTACTTACTTAATGTATGTAAAATTATTAATTGGTTTATATTAGTTATTGTTTTTATAGGAGCAAGCTACCTTAAATGCAATCAATCATAGGGAAAAGTCACAACAATGGTTGTTAGATGCTTCGTGGTAGTGTATTTGTCATTACGTTGTTGAGTTGGGATTGCTACCTTCAATCTATTGCACCTATCATATGTCCAACAATACGATAGTTTTAGCATTTTTAAGCTGTGGCAACTGGAGACAAATATCTTTCACATACCATTCAATGAGATGATGATCACTTTGGATGATGTATATGTGATTCTCCACATACCCTTCACAAGAGCGATGATATCACTACCGAAGTTGATAGCAATTGAGGCTAAGGCGTTGTTAGTGAGGTTGCTTAGAGTTTTACAGAAGGTGGCATCCATTGAGATGAGGATTTTTCATGGTCAATATGTTAGGCTACAGTGGCTACGGGATACATTTAGACATGTTACCAATAGTGCTTCTGATGGAGATATAGAGTGCGCTACCAGAGCTTTCTTACTTCATCTTTTAGGATGTACGCTTTTTATTGACAAGAATGGAGTAAAGTATCAGTGGCGTACTTACATTTAGTCAATAACTTGAGCACTATCAATACGTATGCTTGGAGGCATCTTGCTTGACGTAGTTATATAGGTAACTTGGTATAGCGAGCAGAACTGAGGTTCAGTAGATTGCTGGTTATATTACACTTGTTCAGGTATATAAATAGTATTAGTTTAATGATTTATATATTAGTTATATTTGTTGACCAGATATTTCATGATGTATCTATATTATATAATTTATGTTTGTTTACCATAAAATACAGGCTTGAAGTTATAAGCACTTTCTTATGCTTGGTCCAGTAGCCAACATGGGATATTCTGCTGATAAGCTTCATGCTTAATAGTGGAAGCCCCCTATGTATTCCAATTCACTATAACAATTATAGGAGTAGCTAGATTACTTACCATCAGCTTAGATACGTTAGAACCCTTATAAGACATAGCGATAACATCACTTTTTGTCAGAGATTTTTTTTTCTAGCTATATGATGTGCATGGCTATCTTGAGTTATATCATCCCGATAAGGTGTTTATAATAGTTTGGTTATGTACAAACCATTCTTTCAGCCCTTTAAATTCGTATCAAGCCAAACGTGGTGCATCTTCTAGTACATATAAGGTGGCGTATAACCTTCTGCTTTAGTTATGGGAATGATGAGACATGTATCTTTTGCTTGTTGAATGTCGAGGGTGTACATCTATTACGCCAAATGAGTCGTCACTTGATTATGATGCCTGGAATGCATTAGTTTGTCATCTGTACATACAAAATTTGATGCATAAATTTGAATTTCATTATGTCTCGGTCACCTTGAGCTTCTGATTGTTAGTAGGCCTATCAAGGATACGGTATGTTATAACTTTAGCACTAATTACTTATACAATATACCTAATTAGATGTTTTGGATATTGATTTTCTTTGTTCAAAATTTATAGGTGAGCTCACTGACATTTTTAGTTGTTTGGGCTACTATTTTTGGTGGTCTACATCAAGGAGTGGAGGTGTGGAAAAATGCAATTTTCAGAGTACATGACATTTTGTCTAGGTTACAGGCATAGATTCTTGAACCATCTTCCATTCCAATGCCTAATCTCACTCGTTTTCCACCTCTATACCTGATAATAACACTACCTGATTCCTTGTGCATCTTATCTCCACCATTGACAAGAGCACTACTTGATTCCTATATTTTTCACTCGTAACATTAACAACAACACCACCCAATCCTCCAGCATAAGAGTTAGCATCTCCTACTTTATCTGCTTCATCACATAATGTATATGTTCAAACTATGAGACATAGGATTTAGAGTGTATGATTTTATTATTTTAAACCTTGGACTTACATTATGTTTAGTACTTATCTTTCTGTATGATTAATTCCCTTTTATTTTTCATATATGTTGGCAGATATGATATTTGATTTGTAAGTTGCTAAATATAAAAATATAAAAGATCTATCAAAACATCCATCAAATTAACTGTCAAAAATACAAAATACAAAATTAAAAAAAAAAAACCCCATCAAAAGTCATAAAAATATCCATGAAAAGTCATCATTCAATTTTAATTATTTCTTGGGTGGCTACATTAGAGTTATTGTTGAAAAATAACTTAAAATCTTTTATGCATGCTACATATGAAGCCTTCTATCCTCGAGCACATTCATATCAAACCTTTTGCCAATTTCATACAATTAAAGCTGTTGGTGAGAATGGCTTCATGAACACCTACACAAAATAAATAGATATAATAAGTATCAATCTTCGATAAATATTAAATCTAATAAATGGTATCTGCATAAAATGATAATCATTTACAAATCTAATCGTAATGACTCTGTGCTCTAATGATATAGATGGTACAGATCTAATTGAGAGATAGGTTAAGCACTACCTCAAATTGATGTGGACTAGTACGATATTATATCATAAAGCAATCAAATGACCTACATTGAGTAAGGTCATCCATTTATCATATGGGCACTAGTGTTGAAACACAATAATGTTTGTACCAATTCCTCAACATGCTTAATGGTGCCATACAATGTGACATATTCACTTTGATATAAAAGCAGCTCATTAATTAAATCTTGTTGTACTTATACCCAACCATCTATACCCAATCTAAGTAGTCCAATAATTGAACAAAAATCATAATGTCCATCTACATCAACATCAACGATGGCTGTATATATGGATGTAACTCCACTAAAAAACTAGAAAAATATCACATTATTTATTTACTACGCAAACACTGAATAGGAAGTTTATCGATCAGTATCGTTATTTTCATTGAATTAGCAATGTTTGATGATGGTGTACTATTCTGTACAAATAACACAATCTCTCACTATGATAGGTCATGTCGTATTAATTTATTTGTTAATTTTGCTTTGCAATCTTTTGTCTTAGCAATCTTTAGTAATGGCATCAAAATAGTTGTTGTTGGATCACTTAGTTCTTATAACTTTCTTTTCATGATTAATTTACCAAACTCATTAGACTCGTTGAAACACTGTATAATTCGCTCAATTTTTGATGCAATGGTCAACTATTCTTATATGATATCCACTTATTTCTTCATTAAATCCAACTTTTTCAATGAAAATACACTTCATATAAAGAAATTAGACTTTTCATCCTTATGTGCTTTGCAATCTCATGAGCACAAGGTAATCCATGCGTGCATCGGATAACACAAACTTTACTTGTCAATCCTAACCTGATTTACTTGCTTCGCATTTATAAATATCATATTGAATGCATTCCTAGAAACAAAATCGCACAACTCTTTAAACAAATAAGACTTGAATGAATGATCGATAACTGAAACACTTTTCTCAAATAAAACCTTTATGTCAGTATGTTGCAGCTTGATAAGGTCATTCCTTGTACTCTATAATGATTTAGAATTTGCTTAGGATGATCAAAGATGTTTATTCAATTTCGCATGTGTAGCCTCGACCCTTAAACGCAATAAATAAACGTATATTAAAATGAACAGTCTGTTAGGAATTATACAAATATAAATAATCTTAATAAAAAATAAAACACAATCAGACTTATTTGTTGTAGTATTTTCGAAGTGTATTACTTTATCCGTCCAAGCAGTAATAAATCTCTCTTTATGTTTTTCAACCATTGATCTTTGTCATACTTAGTCACATCTGAATAAGTCTAGTTATCAATCTCCAGTGAACTTAGATGCCTTTTGTACTCATCTTGGGTAGAAAAGAACATAAGGACACTTTAACCTGACATGAATTCTTCCCACTTCTTCTTTCGCTCAAAAATTTTTTACAGTTTGCAAGCACATTAATTAAGATATGAAATATATATAGAAGATTTGTTATGCTCGAAAATACAGTATGTATTGCATTCATCAATATCAAATCTTTGTCAATAACAATGACATTAGGAATGTACTAAAAAGTATCAAACTTTTTAACTTTAATAATGCCCAACTATACTTGTCATAACGTTCAACCTTTTTATACATAAATACAACAAAAAATATCATCTCAAGGGAAGTTACACCAACAATCTCTAGCAAAGAGAAACAATATCTGTTTGTTTTATAGGTGTAATCCATAATTAGGACATTTGAAAATGTATGCAACAAATCTATACTAATAGAATGAGTCTAAAACAAGTTTTTCACATTATCGCTTGACTCGTAAGTCGTATGCCACTCTACATGTTTATAATCAGATAACTTTTTCATGAGTTGTTGTATTTATGATCTACTAGCTTTCTCAACATTTTGGTTTCTCTAACATTCATTGTTTATGGTCTTTATAGTTCCGACATTCTTCTCATCATGTTGTTTTATAGTCAACAATATGTTTTTAGGTTTAACCAAACTATTTGACATATCAATGACTATTTTTTTGTCAGATAATTGACCCACAAATGAATGTCCCTTTAATTGCTTTGTTGGTACATGATTATGAAACCCATATACTAGCTTCACACCTTAGTTATCATCACCTGCCAATTTAAACCTATATAACTAAAATAGGCAATCACACTTCTTTATTTTTATTCCCTTATGTTGCATTTTTTCTACATTTGGCTTATTCTTTTATTGCCTATATTTTTCATTTTACTCACATGCGAATTTGATTCTAACTTTTTTACCTAAACCTTATAAATCAAAGTTTTTAATCACTATCACAAAACTAATATCTCTTCCCACCTATCTTACCCAAGAAATCAATGTTTCTCTACTATAAAACAATTGCACAACAATTTGAATTGTCAGATTTTGCATTTACATAAACTAATACTAAATCATAAGTCTTTAGAAACATAATGTTACCTTTTTAGTAGTAAATGAAGAACTACAATTGTAGTTACTATTTAAATTCTTTACTTCACTCCACACTATCATTGCATTTTGAGAATTATTTTGCATGTTAATCAAACAAAATTAGAATTCTAAAAAAAAAAATTCTTTTGAAAATGCATTTTTGAAAAATTAAAATATTTTCTAGAAGTACATTTTTGGTAGATTGAGGTTGTTTCCAAAATTGAATTTTTGGTAACTTTTCTTTTCTTTCAGAAATGTATTTTTGTATTTTTGAAAATGAATTTTTGGTAAATACAAAGACATTTTAGATATGTATGTTTGGCTACATTCAAATTATTCTAAAAATTCTTTTCTGATAAACCCTATTTGAAAACATAATGATAATTTCAAAAATCATTTTTTGGAAACTTAATATAGTTTTTGAAAAAGTATTTTCGAAAAGTTTGAATTTTTGAATTAAAGGATAAAATCAACTTACCATATACTCATCCTCCTAATCTTCATTGTTGTAGTTTTTTACCTTAAGTTCACTTCCCATTATGACAACTTATAAGAAATTATAAATTTTGGTTTAGATTTTCAACAACGATCTTATTGCTTGCAGATAAAAAGAAGAA